GGGTCCTGAAGACTGGGGTAGTCTTTGCTATGTGTGCTATGTATGTAGCAGGGGGCAGCTACAGCCCTGGCTAGGGGCACAGAGTGAGAAGGAAAGCTCAGGACACACCCTTGTAGTGCCTACAAAAATGCTGGAAATGTGCCTGCCTGGGTGAAGCTCTTTGGTGAGGCCCAGGAGCCTGGAGACCACTTTCGAGGACCTGCGAGAGGAGAGCTCAGACCCCCTGCTCAGGGCCTTAGGAGCAAAGCTGGTTCAGGTGGAAACGGGGAGCGCCAAAGGGAGCTTAGTGCAAATAAACCCTCTTCCTGGTTCGGGCCCCAGGAAAAAAACAAAACAAACAAAAAACAGGACATACCGATGTACTGACACATAAGCTCCTGCAGAGGGCGCCAAGAGCTAGAAATTCCATTGGGCAAATTTAAGGCTTTTATTTATTTTTTAATTTTTATTAATTTCATCTAGATAGGGTAGCGTGTGCTACTTTTCACTTTACGCTTTTCTTATTCTTTTCCTTTTCATTGAAGCTAAATTCACATAGCATAAAACAAACCACTTTGGCACTTAAGACAGTCACACCGTATTCCAACTAGCATCTATATCTAATCTGAAAATATTTTCAGTGCCTTAATATAAAATTCCAAAACCGGGGCTGGAGAGATGCCTCAGTGGTTAAGAGCACTGCCTGCTCTTCCAAAGGTCCTGAGTTCAATTCCCAGCAACCACATGTTGGCTCACAACCATCTGTAATGAGATTGGGTGCTGAACACTGTACACATAATAAATAAATAAATCTTTAAAAAAATAAAATAAAATTCCAAAACCATTATGTAATCCTGTAATTCCACACCTACTTTTATCCCCCTCCGTCAAGAAACCAGTTAGCTGAATTCCTACTGGCTGCAGTGTTTTATGGCCTTGAATTTAACCTTCACAATTGAGGCAGGTGGCTGGATAGCTCGAAGCTCTTGGGGTCCCAGCTGGAGTTTCTGGACCACGCATCATCCTGAATGGCGGAGTGCACGCAGACCTGACCAATAACAAAACGGGTGCGCTCTCAGTCTGCCTCCTGTGGACCTGGGGGAAGCAGCTGCGAACCTACTGGCCTGTGGACGGTGGACACCTGGAATCCCGGCATTTGAGGGGTAGAGTTAGGAGGATCAGAAAAAATTCTTTAAAAAAAAAACTTTAAACAACTGATAACAATAATGAATTTATTTTTAACTGGTATATTAAAATTATGCATACTTATGGGGTACCTGTGATGTTTTGATAATGTGTATGTGTATAACATTAAATCAGGGCAAACATTTATCTTCTCAAATATTTGTCATGTCTCTTTTTAAAAGGGAAATTTTATTTATTATAAATTATGTGTATGTGTGGGTGAGTGCCAGTATCCACAGAGACCAGAAGGGTTGGATCCCCTGGAGCTGGAGATAAAGACAGTTGTGAGCTACCCAGCATGAATCCTAGGAACCTTATTAGATCCTCGAGAGGAACAGCAAGTACTCTTAACCACTGAGCCGTTTCTCCAGCCATTATCCTACTGCAGCTACCTGCAATCAATATAGATCCTCTGTGCATTAGCAGACCAGGGCTTCTTGCTACTATTTAACTCTTTACTCAGCATCCACTGATCACCACTGTCTTTCCCCTACTTTCTCCAAACTCTGCTGGCCACCATTCCACGCTCAACTTCTCTGAGAACAACATTTTCGTTTCCATGTAAGAGTAGGACGGTGTTGTACGTAGCTGATTTTACTTAACCTAATAATCTCCAGTTCACTTCACTCTCTTCTATGGTTGTAGAGTTTCCCACTGCCTATCCATTCATCCTTCGATCGAGTGGCTCTATTTAATTTTTCTTAGCTATCAAGAATAGGGCTGCAGTGAATGTGAAGTGCACCTGTCATTTTTGCACACTAGTGTAAACCCCTCTGAGTATATACCCAGTGGTGGGAAGCTTCATAAGGTAGTTTTATTTTTCAGATATTTAAGGGATCTCAGTCCTCCATTACGGCTGCTCAGGAGCTCGCTCTAGATTTAAAAGTGTAAGTCCTTCTTACTGACTCACAGGGACAAGTAAGATGAGTTTCAGCTGGCATTGTTGCCAAGCTAACACAATTCATGTTTTTGTGTGGCACCCCCTCATGTTTGTACATAAAATAACTTGTTTACCAGAGGGTGCACCCCCAAGGAGGCATGCTGGGAGTGAAATAGGGCTGGACTTTCTCAATAGCCATGGGCCTAGAGCACCTAACTGTCCCTCGACATCTACTGAATTAAAGTGAGCACTCCTTTTTGCACAGAGCCAGGTGGCCCAGCCTGGCAGCTCTTTTCTTACCCAAAGCTTCCAGGAACACCAAACCTTTAAGTCCATAAGAAGGAAGAGTAGGACAAATACCCCAGTACCTCACTCAAGTGACAGGTGTAAGGTGTAACTGAGCACCCAGGACCTTACAGTGATAGGGGACAGGGAGGAGATGAGGAAGGGTTTGGCTTGGATTTCTGGATAGGAGTCTCCACAGCCAATGCCAGAATCAGACTACTTTCAACATCAATGTCACAATGTCCCCAAAGGCAGTGGAGCCAATGTGGCTGCTCTGAAGGTCTCAATAAACCAGAGAATGTTATCTGAATTCCCCAGCGCCTACAACTGGCAGGGATCCCAGCACTGACAGTCTATGTCCTCCTTTTGGGCTCCTGATGGCCCCAACCTGGCCCAGCTGCCACCCTCCTACAGGCCACCGCCTTCATCACCATGCCTTCCCTTATCCCCTGTTACCAGTGCTTTATCTTCTGTCCTCAGTACAGCTGCCCATGCCCCTTAGGAAGATTTTTTTCTCTCTCTCTGTTATAACTTTCCTAAAGGTAAGAGCTGATTATTTTTCATCCGCAATTACAGGACTCAACAGAAGCTGGTGAGCTTGTGTGTTCTTGGTTTCTAGGCTCCCCTCTTCTATCACCACAGGGAGACAGGCAAATACATTTGAACTGTGCCCTGTCTGGAGTTTTCAGGGAACCAAACCAGTTCCCTCAAAAGCATCAGAACCCACCCTGGAAAGCAGGCACAGGCACAAAGGTAAGTGAGTGTTTTCTTCTTTAATGACATTCGCAATGTTTTAGTTTGGACCTCTCCCTGTACTCAACGGCAGGGAGTTCCCACGGCTAGTAGGTAAGAATCCAAACCGCATAGAGCCCTTACTGATGTGACATACCAGATATGAAGGGCAATCTATGGTTGTATCAGGAATGACCTCTTAGGGCTGGCCACTCTGTTCCCAAAACTTAGTCTCTAAACAGATTATCCTACTACCCTAAATTATTGAGTTTGGAGGGGTGCCCATCCCTGCCAAGAGGCAGCCGTGTCCTCTAACCCCATCTGGGCTGGAGAAGTTCTTTCAGGGCAATTGAACAGTGGAGGGTGTTAGAGGACCCTGAAGACCTGAGATTTGCCTATTGGAGCTGGTTTTTCTCCATGTGTCACCTAAGGGCATGAGCTTGGGTAAAACCCACCTCAGAGTAGGTGGTAAAGTGCAGCTCACTCACACACAGGGCCATCTGAGGAATTGTGCAATGGAGTCTGTAGAAAACGACAGTTTCTAGAACTAAGAACTCACGTGGTATGTGAATGAGCAGCTTTTTCTCCTAGGCTGTTTCCTCTCTCCTGTTAGACTCCTAGCTTCTCTTTCACCATGTCTGAGGTGTATCTAATCCTATGTGTTCCCAATAGGGATGGCAAGGCCACACCATGGAGATGCTGCTACTCTGCCAAGCTTCTTAGTCACCTTCATCTTCCTGCAGCTCCTGCCTGCTGGGAACGGTAGGACAGCAGCCCCTTTCTGACCCTAGGGGTGCCCAGAGTCAAGATGAGGTCTCCAACTGAAGCTCAGGACTAGGGGAACCCTCATGCCCACAAAGAGTTAAGGGGAGCCCCTGCCTCCTTCATGTTGCCTAACCTAGCCCTTCCATTTGCATCTCTAAGGAAAATCAGATTTTCGTGTCCTTGGACCTCCTGACCCACTTCTGGCCATATTTGGGCAAGACAAAGAGTTGCTGTGCAAATTGTCACCCAACATCAGTGCTGAGGGCATGGAGCTGAGGTGGTACAGGGACCAGCCCTCAACAGCTGTGCACGTGCACAAGAACGGGGAGGATGTGTATGAAGAGCAGATGGTGGAATATAGGGGAAGGACCACATTTGTCGGCAACCACATGGTCAGAGGAGAGGCCGCTGTGAGGATAAACAATGTCTCCATGTTTGATAACGGGACTCACCTCTGAGTCTTCAAGGAGCACACATCCTACAGCCAGGCCACCCTGTGGTTGAAGGTGGCAGGTGAGGGCTGGGGTGTAGGTCTTGGGAGCTTCTGCTTGGGAGCTTCTCTCAGCCACAATACCAGACCATGGCCTCCAGCGCCCTGAACCCTAAATCTGGAGAAGCTTTGGTGACACCTGCTTCCAGGCAAAACTATCTTCCCAAGGCTCTGTGTATCGTATGTCCCCAGGATGTAGTTCTGATTAGAACTCTGTTTCCCATCTGCCTTCCCTTCATCACACCCTTGTACCAGAAAGAGATCACAGATGCAGGGGAGGGGATCGAGACCTGGAAACAGCTTGGAGGTGGAGTCAGAGAAATGGGAAGACAGGATGAGCAAGAGACAGATGGAGAAATAAAGTAAAAAAGAGAAAAAAAGGGGAAGGCAGGAAGATGGAGAGAAAACCAAGAGAAACAGGAAGAGAGGCAGAGAGGGAGAGGTTGAAACAGATGGGAATGAAACAGCGATTGAGATTATTTGGGGTTATGGAGAAGTTTCTCTAGGTCAGCAGAATTTGTTCTTTGTGGTCAGACAGACCCCAGCTCCTTCCTTGTTCCCATACTTAGTGGGAAGCTTTGTTTTTCTCCTTAAACCTCCCCTGCTTCACTTGTCTGTTTTATTTGGAGTCACAGTACTGCCTTAGTGGTGTAACTGCACAGATGGGTGGTCCATGAAGTGTCATAGAACCTACTAAACAACTGCAAGACATCCCCATGGAAGCAACTGTAGCTACAGGATCTGAGCTGATGTCTCTTCCTTCAGGGCTGGGCTCATCACCCAGAATCCATGTGACTGACACCCAGGACAAAAGGATCCGGGCAGAGTGCACCTCAACAGGCTGGTTCCCAGAGCCCAAGGTGGAGTGGCTGGACCTCAGAGGACAGCCAGTGCCCGCTGAGACTCACTTCTCAGCCACAGCCAGCACTGGCCTCTTGACTGTGGTATCCATTGTGACTACCAAGGACAGGGCTGTGGAGGGCCTGACTTGCTCTATCACTAACCCCCTCCTCCCTGAGAAGAAAGTGGCTGAGACTTACCTGCCTGGTGAGTACCTGTTCAGTTCTGTCATCAAAGCCACTAGCATGGGAGTCCAGGCCCTGGGTGCCAGGGATGTTTGGAGAAAACTGTGGGGACAGAGCCAGAGAAGCCCCTGCCTACAGCCTGGCCAAGAGAGTCACAGGGATGTTGGTGTCCCAGATGAAGCAGTGATAGGGTTGCAGGGAGATCCATCAGGAAAGCAAGAAAGATACATCGTGGTATTAGTTGCTGTTGTTGTTTTAATATTTTTTTTAAAAGAGAAGTTGTAGTTCATGGCAAATTTCATCAGAAAATACATAGATTTTCTTTTCTTTAAAAGAAGCTATTTATTTCTTTTATTTTATGTGTATGAATATTTACTGAGTGTGTATATGTACTATATATGTGTAGTTCCATTGGAATTGGAGTTAGAGATGGTTGTGAGCCACCATGTGGGTGCTGGAAATGGGACCTGGGCCCTCTGTAAGGGCAGCCGTGCTCTTAACCACTGAAATGTCTCTCCCACCCCTGGATTTTTCACATACCTCATCTCACAGTCATAACTCTCCCAGGTCTGAGAACCAAGAAGGGGATATTACAGGGATGAACAGGGAGAGACCCACCAGGGTCAGCAGGGACATGGGGCTTCGTGGTACTGAGTGTTCTGTGGTGGACATAGAATGGCTTCAGTACTGCAGGCTGCCTCCACATTCTCCACCCTCCCTGTTCACACCCTCTCTTTTCCCACTTATTACTTATGCATGGAGACCCCTGACTTTTTCTTCTTTGAATGGTTTTTTTCTTTCCCTGATGTTTTATGGTTGAAACCACACCAAACACATTCTTTTCAGACTGGCTTCTTTCAATTAGCAATATGTATTTGAGAGTGCTCTGTGACTTGCCTTTGCCTGGTGTCTTAGTTACTGTTCGTTCTATTGTTGTGAGGAGACACCATGACCAAGGCATCTCACAGAAAAGAGAACATTTACTTGGGAGTTTGCTTACCTTTTCAAAGGGTGAGTCCTTTATTATCACTGCAGGGACCATGATGGCAGCAGGCAGGCAGGCACAGGTGCTGCAGAAGTAGCTGAGAGTTCACATCTGATCCTCCAGTTGCAGGCTGAGAGAAAGACATTAGTGTGGGCTTTTGAAAACCCCAGCCCATCCCCAGCAAAAGCTACATCTGCTAATCCTTCCCAAACAGTTCCACTAACTGTGGACCAAGCATTCAAACTTAGGATCCTATTGGAGTCATCCTCATTCAAACCACCACACTTAATAGATCATTTATTTTAAGGGTTGAATAACTATTCCACTGTCTGGATAGACCACAGTTAATTTATCTATTTATCTACTACAGGATATGTTTAGCTTTTCATTTAAAGCTTTATTTCTTTAAAAACTTGTTTTTTTGATTTTGAAAAAGGATATCACAATGTAATCCTGGCTGATCTGGAACTCACAATATGGAACAAGCCGTTCTTGAACTCACAGAGATCTGCCTGCCTCTGCCTCCTAAGTGCTAGAATTAAAGGCATATGCTACAATGCTGGGCAAAAGTCTTATTTCTAAACAATGTTAAATTTCCAGCTTAATTTTGCAAAATGAGAGCATAGTTTGCAAATATAATAAGTCTCTCCATCACTTGTCCAGATTCACATTTTGAGTATTTTGTTACATCTTAATGGCTACAAATAGCATTTCTAATATCTGCATCTCACCCATATGACCATGAATATTCAAATCCCTCAGTCCACTCTGCCTCAACTCATACCATACTGTGTCCTATGCTGGTGGGCCATGGACAGATGTGTGTTGTTAGCAGTTCCAGAAAGACAACTGTTGTAGAATATTTATTTTAAGGTGTGTTACTTTTGTTTATGCTCTGGAACATTTATCTAATGATGCGAAGATGTGTTTGATTAAGTAAAATTCACCTGTGGTCAGGAGGCTGGGTCAGCAACTAGCCTACAGGAAGCTGTAGGGAGGAGCCAAGTGGAGAAGGGTTTATAAGGAAGGGTGAGAACGTGTATATGGACTTCTTGGGAGACTTGAGGAGGTAAGCTAGGCAAGCTGTTTGCTGTTCGGCCTCTCTGGGAAGCAGGATTCTACCTCAACCTTTGAATCTTGAGTTCTTTAATAGATTTAAATAAGTTTTCTTAGTAGCTTTGAAAGAGTCAATACCTGAGGAAACAGCATTCCCTCAGGCTTCGGCTCTTGCGGCCTAGCTGCTGATGGTAGGGGCAGAGTTGCAGTTGCTGAATAGGATGGCCTAGCTTAAAAAGCAGCAACAATTAAAAAAGAAAACAGACAGCAGAAGCCCACGGTCAGGGTGGGCAGGATCTGTGTCTGGTGAGGGATGCTCCATAGTTCATAGATTTTGCAGTGTCCTTGTGTGGAGGAAGGACCAGGACCTCTCTGAGGTACTTTTCATAAGGGCGTTAATCCTGATAATGAGGCTTCACCCTCATGACTTCCTCACCTCCCACAGCCTGCCTGCACCAGCATCTAAGAGGTTGGAATTTCAATGTTTTGGGGGACACAAACCTGCAGGCTATAGCACTGTGTATCAGAAGATATCTCATCATCTCATTTTTTTTTTTCTGAACCCTTTTGAGAAAGGTCTATGAACACTGTGTCCCTTGAGTCTGGAATAATGGGTAGGGGGTGTGTTACGAAGACAGTCCCCTCCTGTTATTCTTGATGCCCTGAAATTCTCTTAGCCTCCCTGTTCAGAATGCCTCTGTCCGCCGAGAGGGTACCAGTTCTACCTCTGATCCTTGCGGCGCTGGGGCTTGTCACGGCAGCAATCGCCTGTGCTTTCGGGAGAAGGCACAAAGAGGATAAAAGTGAGGAGGAAGAAGAAGTGGACCCAAGAGCCAGTGCTGAGGTTGAGCCCTTCCATGGTGAGTGGACCTGACCCTCACACTGGAGACTTGAATGCCAAGCTCTCGTCTGAGGCTTTGTCTTTGTGTGATCCAACACCGCAGGAATGGAATGACTAGTGGGGATTTTGGCTCTGGAATTTCCCAACCTCAACCCACCCAGAGGAAACCCTTTACCCTGAGAGATTCCTTGCTCAATTATTCTTCACAAGATGATTTTGGACAGTCTAGAGGGCCTCCTGGGAAATGGATAGACAGGAGCTTGAAGCTTGGGCTTGTCATTTTTCTACTACTGAAACAAAATACCTGAGGCTCCGCCATGTGTAAAGGAATGTTATTTAGCTCACATTTGGGGGTCTAAATGTCCCAGATCACGTGGTCCATGTGGCGAGGGCTCCTTGGCTGTGTCAAATTATGGTAGATAGCAAGACAAAATAAGCAAGGGATTTGGGGATCAGGGTCACATGGGAACTAGCCAGCATCCCCAGAGAACTAAAACTAAAGGATGTTCCCATGAGGTCATTACCTTGGATGAGGCTCCACCTCCTAAAAGTTCCCCCGCCTCCCACTGGTCACACTGAGGACCAGGCTCCTAACATGCAAACCTTGAGGACACATGCCAATTACATGCAACCCACAGAAAAGCCCACATCTGGAGTACTGGCTGTAGGTGTGAATTACAAGTTTTCTGTCGCTGGAAGTGGTCTCTGTCTCTCTGTCTCTGTCTCTCCCACCCAGAGCCTGAGCCTCAGAGTTTAGTGCACACTGGGAACTCTCTCAGGCTGTGTTCATACTTCCTCAAGCATCCCTTTATTCCTGCCTCCCTCACTGTTTGGGGAATAACAAAAAACAGTTTAAGTGGGGACAGTAGCAGATTGCTGCAAGTGGAGGGGAAACCTTCTTCATGTAGGTGACAAACCCTGGATCCCTCATCTATGCAGGGGAAAGATGGCAGAAGCCCCCACATCTGAAACTTTCCTCTCTCCACAGACAGCCTGTCCCTGGACCCTGAAACCTCCAGTCCCAAACTCGTGGTGTCTGAGAATCAGAAAAGTGTGAAGCGGTTGCTATTTGACCAGGACCTGTCTCCCAGTTCCAAAAGATTTGACCAGGACCCCTGCATTCTGGCCCAGGAGCAGTTTGATGCAGGGAGACATTACTGGGAAGTAGAAGTTGGGGACAGGAGGGCCTGGATTCTGGGGGTGTGTCTGGAAAGTTTGGGACGGGAAGGTAGGATCCCTAAGTCACCTCAGCATGGCCTCTGGGCACTGGAGTTTTACAAGAAGAAACTCCAGGCCCTCTCCTACCCCAGGACTCACCTGTCTCTTCCACAACCCATCTGTCGTGTGGGCATCTTCTTAGATTTTGAGGCAGGGAAAATCTCCTTTCACAATGCAGTCAATGGCTTCCTTATCTATGTGTTCTCAGGGCTGTCTTTTTCTGGTCCCTTACAACCATTCTTCTGCCTCTGGACCCATGACCCCAGGCCCCTGACCATCTGCTCAGTGGTCAGAGAGACTGAAGAAGTCACAGACTCCTCTGAAGGTCCTTGACCTCCCTGGGGACTCCTGAGACATCCTTAGGAGAGAGAGGCTCTTGCCTTCTTGCCCACCCTGGCTCCTGGTATTATTTATCACATCCCTGTGTGGAAATTTCACAAGACCCCAGGGGCTAGAAATGCTGCCTCTGCCAAATTTTTGTGCTGAATACTGACCCCCTGCCCTCTCCCCACCCAGGATTTCTGAAGGTGTTGTAATTTGGAGATAAAGCATTGAAAGAGATAAGGGAGTCCTGATGCACTTTAACCCCATAAACCTACCATTCTTATAAGAGAGGAGATAGGGACACACACACACCCTGGGGGGACTCAGAGATGTGCCACTCACTAGCCAAAGAGACCAGCTGTCTCAGATTTCTAGCTTCTGGGACTTAGAAAGTGGTTCCTGCCGAGTGGGAATCATGTGACTCTCCTATGATGAGGTACTTTGTCATGGCTGGCCTCCCTCAGTGAGGAAACAACACAACAAGCACAACAGGGATATTTTTGCTGTATTCTTAGCGGCATATTAGAGCATCCAGCTCAGTGGTGGAGGTACCGTGATTGCTCGATAACTGAGTCTTGACCTCTTCTTACTCTTCCTCTATCTTGTTCATCTTTCTTTTCCTTCCTGCTTGCTTTTCTCTCCCCCCTCCCTTTCTTTTTCTTCCTGTTAAATGATGTTTATTTTTAGTGGTGTGTGTGTGTGTGTGTGTGTGTGTGTGTGTGTGTGTGTGTGTTACATGTGAAGGTCAGAGGACAAGTTGTGGAAGTTGGTTCTTTCCTTCTACAATGTGGGTTCCAGGGACTGAATTCACTCAAGTAGTCAGGCTTGGGGGCAAGTGATTTTACCTTTTAGCTTTCTCAACAGCTCCCCATTATCCTTTTAAAATACCAGTAATTTCTGTACAAATCTAAATGACTCTCAGATCCCCCAAGAGTCCTTCCCTACTGGGATGTCACCTTTCTGCTTAAGACCCGTGCTTACTCTTCATTGTCTGGTTTCATCATTGAGAAAGGAAGTACCAATCAGCCCATAAGACTCTTCTGATCCCCTCCCCAGACATACCCTGCAGGCTTATGGCATCTTTTCCTGTCCCCTTTCATGTCTCTGTTATTTATTTGCAAGGGAGGCAACAATGTGAGAAGTGAAAAAGATTCTAAATAATTATCTCATTCTTGGGAGAACCATGAGTAAAACCACTGTGCTGTTGGTAAGCTGGGGAAAGCATGTATTTAAAGAACTAAGGATGGACTATCAAAATGGCTCAGTGAGTAGAGGTGCTTGCCACCAAGCCTGATGACCTAAGTTCAATCTCTGGGACCTGGGTCAGGGAAGGAGAGAACTCACTCCCAAGAGTTTTCCTCTGACCTCCACATGCTTGCCATGGTGCATGCACACAAAATAAAAAATGTAATAAGAATGAAGGATGTCATGGTTGTTGTTGTGACCTCCAGAATTACTCTCCTAGCCAAGCTTCATAAACTTTTCTGTTATTGAAAATCTGATAAGAAAATGAATATTATTCAGTTACTTTAAGTATTGCTAAAATATAAACGCATTTTATTCATATATGTCTATATTCATCATCCAGGATATATTTTTCCGTTGTCACCAATTCATTGAGCTATGATGTTTTGTGCACCGTGTGTGTATAGTGCTTACAGAGGCCAGAAGAGGGTGCTGTATCTCCTGGAGTTGGAGTTAGACTGTTGTGAGCCACCCCCTCCTCCCCCGGCCCCAGTGTGGCAAACCAATCCTGGTCTTCTGGAAGAGCAGCCACAAAGTTAAAATATTCTCAAAAATAAAGGCCACAGCTTACACGGAAATATAAAATTGAAATTTCTGTAACATCTGTTAAGAACTTTAGGTGAGGGTGAAAACAGCTGGCTGTAAAAAATTGGGAGTGCTTGCTTACTTCAGTCTGTTTCACAATCTTCCTGAAAGTTTGAAAATGGATGGAAATGGGCTAACACTCAGATATCTTAATCAAAGGTAAGTATCAGTATTAGTACACAGAGCAAATAAAGTGTCTGCCATATTTTAGCTTTTCCTAATGTAGATGTAAATGAACTAGCAATGGAGACATTGTAGGGAAAGGGGCCAGCCAAAGAAACACACCCTGAGAAGAGCCAAAGAAACACACTTTGGCCCTGCAACCAGAACCAAAGAAATGTACCCTGCCCCTGAAACCAGTGCCAAAGAAACACACTTTGTCCCTAGAATCAGAGTCAGTGAAAGAAATACACCCTGGCCCTAAAAACTAGAGGCAAAAGGCTAAGAAAGACCAGTGAAAGAAACACACTTTGGCCCTGAAATCAGAGCCAAATGTGACCCCAAGCCTTGCAAAAACCTAACCAATCCCTAAGCAGGAGATCTAGCCAATATGAGTTCAGGAATTGAAATCTGACCAATCCCCATCCCCTGGAAAAACTCCGCCCCCTAAGAATCCCTTTATAAACCCTGTGTCTGTTCAGTTTGGGGCTGTGTTTGCCTGTGGCACTCTTTGCAGATTCTTTGCTCCCAATAAACCCCTCTGATAAGTTTTGGGTGAAGACTTTCTTTGTAGTAGAGCAGAGCTGACTCTGGACAAAGCAAACTGAGCACGCTGCAATTGCTGGAGAAACCTTCCCCTGGCAGAGCGTAGTTTCTACTCCTCTCTCCCGGAGCAGAGCTGACATGTAACGACTTCGCTGAGGAACCTCTTTCCAGCTGGAGCAGAGCTGATACACTTGGGAAGCTTCCCCCTGAAACAGAGTTCCACAATACTTTTCCATCTGAGCTGGGTATTCTCTGACTCCTGCGTACCAGAAGATCTGTCCCATCCAATCAAACTAAATGCTTACAGAAATGGTAGTATAATTTTCCCCAAGGAAGGCACCAAATCGAAATGGTGGTATTTAGCCAAACACTTGCAGAGTCTAGACGTTTACCTTTGCCCTTTGGTGGAAGTTCAGGGAGCTGGCCACTACTGGGATTTGCCTGCTTTGGTCCAGATAATCATCATTGTGCTTTCAGGTCCACTTGGGCTCACCACCCACCACATTGTATGTCCACAGGTAAGCCAGGAGGAGGTGGATGAAAACCTCAAGTGAAGTGTGGCTTTTAGCCCCTGAGACCCACTTATACCTGGGAAGCGTGTATTTACCGAGGTTAGATGTTGGCCTTGAAAACGAAGTCAAAGCTGAACTCAAATGTAGATAAAAGTATACTTTTTTTTTTTTTTTTTTTGGTTTTTCGAGACAGGGTTTCTCTGTGTAGCTTTGGAGCTTATCCTGGCACTCGCTCTGGAGACCAGTCTGGCCTCAAACTCACAGAGATCCGCCTGCCTCTGCCTCCCGAGTGCTGGGATTAAAGGCATGTGCCACCAAATGCCCAGCAAAAGTATGCCTTTTTAAATTATTGCATTTTCAACATGTATCAATAGTCAGGAACAGAACTAATTTTGTACAGACGGTTGAGTGCTGGGGTTGGACAGTTAATACAGCTTGCAAGTACAGCAAAGTAGAAGGAGGCTATGCAATTAATTGACTTGTCACTGTCAACATCTCAATACGGTTTTTTTTTTTTTTTTAATTAGTTTGAGACAGGGTCTCACTTGTAGTACTGGCTGACCTATCTAAGTACTGGGGTCAAAGTCGGGGGCAGGGCCTCCCACTAGAATCATCAAGTTAACTGAACCTGTTTAGAATCCAAGAACTGTTTGAGCAAATTCCAGCTGTTTCAGACAAACCTCACTCTTAGCATGCCGTACAGTAATACCTCTGCCCAGCCACCAGGTGGAGATTCCCCACTCTGGCCCAGAAATGGCTACATGGTCAGGAGTCCATAAGAACTTGTCCATTAAGCTACCTCGCGATTCCAGTTAGCTCTGAAAGTAGCCTTTGGTATTCACTGAAGGGCTCTGAGGGTGGACAGCCTTGTGACCATCCGTGCATTGCTGAGTGCCAGATTAGACACTGTCTTGCACGGTGATTAGCTCCGCGGCTCACGGACCTGCACGCTGGTGATGGTTGGAGGGGCAGAACTGCTGCAACACCTGAGTCACCAGTGCATGATGGGGGTAGGGAGCAAGGCCCACGCGGCCCACGTAAAAGGAGAGAGAGGCAAGAAGCAGACCACCAGAAATGAATAAACAGCTTACAACCTCTCTGGCTCTAATAAACAGTCAGACCCTCAAGCTTGAAAGGCAACCCGGAAGCCCCATTGGCTGCTCTGTGGGAACTTGTCCAATCAGAAGAGTCCATGAAGTCACCTCATTTGCATATGGCCAGGATTCTATGAAAGAATTTAATTTTTTTGTATGTTCATCTCCGGGTACTGTTCCCTCAGAGATACCAGCTTTTCTGAGTTGGAAACTGATTTTTCTTCTTTGCCAGGATACGGAGTTGTTCACAAGGGAGGGGGCCCCGGCCTCATGACACCTACTAGTAAGATTTAGGAGTGTATATACCAGCCGCATTGGACAGGGTTGGGAGGGTCCATGTTTAGGAAAGGTAAAGCATGCCTTTGCAATGAATGGGAGGCACGACTCTATGATTGACTAAGCATGGTATTGACCCTGGGTCTGTAATCAGAGGCCACCATACACCCCTGGAACCTCTTCCTCAGACTAGAAAACAGAGACAGCCTCTTCGCACCTTCAGCTTTCTGGGGACCACAAATTAAAGTGAAAACAACCCAGGGCACCATACCCTGAGATTTGCTCATGTCCTTTAGGCTGCAGGTCTGAGGCCAAGGAATGGAAATTTTAAAACCTCATCTTCAGAATACCAACCTCTACATTTATGAAAGGAACCACGGGGACCCAGATGCTGCCTGTGCAAAATGGGAAAGAAACACTTGTCCTGTAACAACCCACAGTTCATACCTGATCCTCAGGGCAGCCTGTCCAAGGAGCCAACGTAGCTATTACAGCACTATAAAGTTTGCCTGCCCTTGCTGGCACTCCACCAGCCCCCAAAATGGAATCTTGCTAAAAATCAGACTTTCTGCTGTGGTAATTTAATCCTGGGTGGCTTGTGTTCTGTTTCAGTCATTTTGTTTCTAAAGCCAGCACAGCCTTCCTTGTCTCCTAGAAGTTCCTTAACAGCACATTCTTTTTCATGAACCAGTTTCCAGAAAAATCTTCGTTTCAACTCAATTATCTCCAAATTAAACTTCTTATGGAAATAAACCAGCTCATGTGGGCATCAAGTAGCACAAAGCTCATGGAAGCCTCCCTTTCCCAGGATTTTTAGCAGTCTTCTGGTTATTTGGGGGGGGGGGGTGTCTTTGCTTGAGAAAACTAGGTGATGTGAGAATGGCCTTTGAATTTACCTGTCTGAGGACAGCTGTCATCAGCCCTCACTTAACTATGGGGTGATTATTAGGGCAAAAGACCTTAGATTCACAACCAGTTTTCTCTGAGGAAGAAATGCCATAGGTTTCACCCAAAACCTCACATACAGTCCCTAAAGGGAGTTAGAAACCTGTCATCTGCAGTCTGCAGGGTAGGTACTGCCAAAGAACCTCTGGATCAAGGTCCAACTAAATGACTTGTATTTTAGAATACTATTGGCCATTTCATGGGCTTCATATCTGTGGACTCAATGAGAGAAAATTACCAGAAACACACACACACACACACACACCAAGCTCCTTATGTATAATATAGTGTATTCTATACCTTTGACCTCACCATTTCCCCCAACCCCATGAAACTAGTTCATAGTACTGGTTATATTAGACATTAGAAGTAACCTAGAGGTGGTTTATAGGACAGCAGACACTGTGTGTAGGTCACAGATGAGGACTTGCACAGGTCCTGAGCACTAGCACCAGCCCCCAGTAGGCAGGCACTAAGGGCACGTATTCATTAGTCTCCTGCATTGGCCTGTTTTCTAACCTGCACACTACTTGTAAGGCTCTTCACCAGCTCTACTTACTATGACAGTACTGTTGCAAAAACCCCAGGTAAGGTCTGAAATGTGCCTGCCTCTTTTCCATACGGGGAAGGCTCTAGCAAAAAACAAAATTACTTGCTGCTCCTCCCTGCTTTTGGTGTATGTGGGTTCACAAGATTTTTTCCACGGAGCCATTAAACACATGACAATCACCCTGCCTCAGCTTCCTGTGTGTGTGTGGCTTTGTTTGTTGTTGGTTTTGTTTTGTTTTCAGACAAGGGTCTCATTACATAACCTTGCCTGGCCTGGAACATGCTATGTAGACCAGCAGGCTTCAAACTCAGAGATCTGCCTGCCTCTGCCTCCCAAGTGCTGGTATTAAAGGTGTGTGCCACCATGCTCAATGCCTTTTGAAAGCTGGTATTTTCTTCATTCCCCACATCCCAGTATCTCCATTTCCCATCCCACAGGCAACCAGCCCTTCCGATTCCATTGTTGCCTGACATGGTCTCCCAGCATATCCAACCTATAGTCTATGGATCTGGACCAGACAAAGGAAACCTATCAAACAAATGCAGCACTTCACCAAATTGTACTTACCTTTGTAGACAAGTGTCAAAAAGGATGGACACATCTGTACTAACCACGTGTATACTTCAATTTGCCTTTTACTTATCATGGTACCTTGAAGCCCCACTCGTATAAAACATGTCCAGTTCATCTCTTCTGTCCCATGGGCTCTATCCTCCATGACCTTCCACCTCCCTAGAAAAGGAACCCCAGTAGTCTGTCTTGTAACAGTGTGGTGAGCAGAGCACACACTAACTTAAGGGCCTGGGAAGGGATGTCCTTGGGTCACCGTACCTCTAAATCTATCAAACTCTTGAAAGCTGATGTTCACCCAGAAGAAAAGGTAAGGAATAGAGCATGTTTTTGGGATTCTGCCTTTAGGCTTCTGCTGTGTCCCTGTGAAATCTCTCCTTCAGATGGTAGTATTAGGAATGTGAGACCTTGGGAGAGACAATATGGTAAAAAGGGTAGAGCTCACAAATAGAATTCATGCTATAAGGTATCCTAGAGACTTTTTGTTTTGTTTTGGTTTTTTTGAGACAGGGTTTGTGTAGCCCTATCTGTCCTGGAACTCACTCATACACCAGGCTGGCCTCAAACTCAGAAGTCCACCTCCTAGAGACCTTTCATTCTTTTTTCCCTGTGAAAGCAAAGGATGGACATCTATGAACTACGTAGTAGGTCTCAGTGGGGAAAGAGGACAAAGCTGGCAAGGGCCAGGAAGAACAGATTCCTCTCCAGTGAAGGATCTGGTGCTGAGATGCTCAGTGTTCCAAATTCTGGAGTAGACCAGGTTTATGGTAGACATGGGCAAATATCCTATGTGGCAGCCACTTAGGGTACTGTTGATAGTATGTATGAATTGCAGGCTACAAACTGGCATGCAGAGTTGTGGTGCAACCTTGAGGCTTTCTCAACTTAAGACTGCACTTCACACATACAGTTTGTCAGGAGTCACGGGGCAGAAAAAAGGGACAGTCTCTGGGACATGATCACTGGGGTTGGAGGTGTTTACCTAGACAAGGTCATATGGTTTTCTGGACCAATGCTAAAATCTGAGGGACAACCCTGTCACTTGTTTCTGAGATATGGACAGTCAGTTCCAGATTGCCTGGCATTCTCTACACCTGCCATTCAATTAGTCTGATTTCCACTTCTGTCCTCAACAGAGATCAGTCTATCAAAAGGGGACACACTACTTGGGGCTAGTCCTCTCACTGCCATCTGTAACTCTGTTCCTGCCTTCCTGTTCTTCCCTGGCACTCAGGGGGAAGCTCTTCTGCCTGTAGGGAAGGTCCATCCTGGGTATCCAATCACCCTGAATATGAATGTGACTAGTCTGTTATCTTCCAGCCCTGGGTACATATGATCTGCAGGACCCTGTTAGGTGGACTAAGCCAGAGTCTCCTCAGCATGATGTCTCCTCATGGCCTTTCTAAGTCATTCCTGGCTGTAATTCCCACATTTGACACTGGGTTCAGGGTGACACCTGCCCTCTCTGCCTGACTGACTCAGTGACAGTCTGCTCATTTTCTTTCACCAAAGACCCTGGAACCCAGACAAGTGCAGGGAAGCAGCTGTGTGGAGAGAGACTGGAAGGTACAGAAACAGAGAGGCTGGAGCAAACCATTTTATTCAGCACTGAGAACCCAGACCACCTGGAAGTCAAGCTGGAGCTAGTCACTACACCCAAGGCCCCGCGGGGCCTTCTGAGGACAGAACATCATTAACCCCCAAACCTACATAGGTCTGTATCTTTGGCCCCTGACCTGTCTGTCCACTCTGCTGGGTTTTGTTTCTTGGACTAGTTATCTACACACACAATGTTGCAGGCAACCACGCTACCGCTACGCCACAAGTTTTGTGAAATTCACCTACTAGAGAAAATATGAGGTGAGAAAGCCAAAAATACAATGAAGTGAAGCACCAGGTGGCTTGGAGATGCCACCCCTGCCGCTCTTCTGCAGGGAAGATAGATGGTCCCTTCCGTGAGAGGTGGGTAACAGTAGGGAGCACTTTGGGGATGACAGTGACACCCAAGGGGCACAAGCTAGAAGGAAAGAGGCTAGGAAAGCAAAGCATAAGACAGCTCCCAGGATCTGGCACAGCAAGACCCAAAGGGAGGGACCAGCCCTCTGGAGGGTGGAGAATGCTCCCCCTGCCACCACTAAGAGTCGGGTCCCAGCCAAATCCCAGGGCCTCCTACATCTCTATTCCCTGGCACTAACACATGCTGACTATAAGTGGTATGCCCCAGAGCCTTGCTGAGGAATGTCTGGTGAGCCAATCCTGTCAAGGGCACCAATGGGGAAGGTGCAAAGTTTGGTTCTTGGATGCTAGAGTGACATTGTCACACTAGGCCCTGTGCCATGACTAAATAAGAAGCAGGGGCTTCAGACCTGCCAACTGGTCTCAGGCAGGGTTGGGACACACTGGGAAGGGAATCCCAGGACTGGTCTCTACTAGGAACAGGCCTGACCATATTCATGCCCCAAAGAAAACTAAAAACACTGCTGAGAAATGGAACTATGTAAATGACCGAAAGCGGGGCACCTTTTGCTTCATCCCAGACCAATGTGTTATCAGTGTTGACAGAGATGGGGACCTGTTCAGGATGAAGGGTAGCGCCAGGCAGAGAGGCCTGAGAGATGTAGGTGGGGGTGCTGCAGGCCAGCAATGGAAGGTGGTTCCTTCTGCCTCATGCTCCAGGGGGCCAGCCTGCTGCGCAAGCATCTTCACTGCAGGGAAATGGAGAGACAGAGACAAAAGGAAAAAGACAGTGAGGCAGAGAAAATGAAGGGAGATACAGAGGTAAGACGACGATGAGACAGAAGAGGCAGCGACACAGACTGCTGCTCTCCTAAGTACAACACACCCAGAACCATGGTGACTTGACAACCCTTTAAACTAGGTCCAAAACCTATGTCTCCAAGGCTGTATACCCATCACCACAGGGACAGCACAGCCCCCAAACAGCTAATAGGTATGTGGAATGGGGGACCCCTCAGCTACAGGCAGCTGCTGATGCCACATTACAAGCCCAGGCTCAGACTGCCAAGTGGGCTGCCTCCCGCCTCAGGTGTTAGTCAAACCCTTGGGGCAGATATAAGGATGGGGGGACGGGGGTTTCCTGCCCACGAGTGTGAGGGGTGAAAATATCCCTTCCACATCCAGGATCATTACATATCTTCATCAACTCAAAGCTTCTTCCTACCACTTTCCCCAACTCATTCCCTGACTTAGGCCACAGCAGGGGTAAGGGAGGCTGAGGCTCCGACCTTTCCCTGTGGTAGTCTCCCTTCACTGGGGCTCTGAGCTGGCCAGAGATGTGACGTGGAGAGGTGCTCATTCTCCACCAGGTGGTACCTGCAGTAGCATGCTAAGGCCCAGGTTCCGGTGCTTCTTCTCCAGCTCTGACACAGCCTGCAGTAAGGACCGGAAGCGTTCTGCTGGGTCAGCCTGCTCATCATCCTCCGAAGGACCCTCATCCTTTTCAGCCTCTTGCAGAAAGTGTTCCTCCTCTTCCACAAAGAAGGCCCGAAGCTTCTTGTAGTCAGTCAGGGCCTTCTTTCTTCGGTCCATAACATGCCCCTGCAGGGTGAGTGGGAGAAGGGACAACAGTCTACCTTGGCCCACACCCACTGTATCCAAAGAAAGAGACCCTCCCCCATCTACTCTGAAAGAAATTAGGAAATATGACACCTCAAAATATGCTGAGTAGGTCTTCTGAATTAAACTTAAAAAAAAAAAAAAAATCACAGGTGAGGTAAAAGACTCTCTTGCATTGTTTTCCTAAGCAAGCAGTGAAATCTCCACAAGAAAGATGCCCCTGTGGTCCCTCCAGGTGGTGTTAGCTTGGTCCCAATGTGGCGTGGTGGCGTTAGGGCCTTTAAGAATTGAGGATTGGTTAGCTCATTGTTGGGTGTACCCTCAAAGAGGACAAGGGATGCTGGTCTCACAGGCTACCAGCTGTTTTCCAAGCTGTTACAGAGAGAATCATCCTGGGTCCACACATTTCCACCATGAGGCCCTCACTAGAGACCAACAGATAGAGCCTTTTGATGGTTCAGCCTCTAGAACAGTAACTTGCCTTCTTTACACAGTACTCTATTTGTTACAGCAATAGAAAAAGGCTAAAGCACTCTTCCTATACAAAACAAAAGGAATGGCATTCTTATCAAGGATAGAAGTGGAAGTTGAGAAGATGCTACATAGACCTTGTTAAAATAATTATTTTCTTTTATGCCTCCCAAATTAATCATTTGTCCCCAACCTGCTCTTAAGGTAATGTTTTGTCTCCCCTGTACTGTCCTTCATGCTGGTTCCAGGAAATGCATCCCCAAGACACCAAAGTATTTGGAAGATGCTCAAGTCCCTTCTACAGAGGGCACAGCACTGGCACATAACCTATCTGCATCCTTCCATGTGCTGCAGATCACCTGTAGTTGACACAATTTACCTAACACAATGTAAATACTTTGTAAAGAGTTACTCTACTAGAAAGAAGCCTATGTATTAAGTACATTCTATTTGTAGTGCTTGCTTTGCATGATTATATTAGAGCCTCTCACATGCTGGACAAGCATTCCACCCGTCAGCCACATTCCCATTTCTGATCAGAAGTCTGTTAAGTCCTTGGACATAGAACCCATATATACATTGCTCAGCTTATGTGAAGACCCCACTCACAGCTTCTCAAAGATGAACTTTGGGACCAAAGTCCTATTAGAATGCATAGTGACCTTCTACCAGCCACTTTTCCCACTATAGCCTCTGGTAAATCTGAGAGCAAAAATTCATCCTGCCACCCTCAGCAACACTTCAACCAGTGACAACAGAACTTTAAAAAAAAAAAAAAAAAAAAAAAAAAACCCTCTTTACCCTGGCCCTGGATCACACAACACAGGAGACAGCCATGCTCCTGAGGGAAGAATGCTTTTGTTGAAAAGGATGTAAATGCCAGCCAGGTAACTGCTGTCTGGCCTAGCTCTTTGGACTAGAGGATCCTCATCTTTGTAGTAAAAGCCTCTATGTGCTAGAACTTGTCCTTGGAATGACTGTGGGTAGAGCAGGTGGCTTCAGCCTTGACATACAGGCCATCTGTGAACTTCAGGGCTTCTGTGGTCTACAGAAACACTTTGTTTTTATGTTCTTAAAAAATGGGGGTGGGGTGGAAACTAATAAACTTTAATATATAGAAAGAAAAGTCACCAAAGTTTAATCAATGTGTGGTTTTTTCAACAAGTAAATTTAAAGGACTGTAACATCACTTCACCTTGGTGTTTAATGCCATGGAAGGCGCAAGATGAAGGCTAAGCACCAACTTTTTGTGTCCCCCAAATCCCTGTGCTGAAACCTCCAGGTAATGGTGTTGAAAGTGGTGGGCTTTTGGGAAGTGATCATTCCTACCAGAGCAGAGGTGGGATTAGTGCCCTAGTAAAAGGGACCCCCAGAGACCTCCTGTCCACCCTCCATGTGACGATACAGTGTGAAAGGCCACCAGAAAGCAGCCCTGACCAGATACAGACTTGCCATGGCTTGCCTGTGGACCTCCAGCCTCCAGAGCAATAATGTCTGTGTTATTGTAAGGCAGCCAGAAAACAAGTTCCACTGGGATTGGTCAGAGTCAAGAGTTACTACAAAGGTTTGGAGTAGGAAAGGAAGCTGAAGCTTACAAATCACCCTTGTGTAAAGCATGAGAAGAAAAGGAGGCCCCCTACTGACTTCTGACTGGGTGTGTCCTAGGATAGCACCCTGGCATTCATTAAGTCCACACAGAGGCCCCTCCGCCAGTCATCCAGGCAAACAGCAGCCCAGTCTGGTTGCCCTGCTGGTTCCCCATATCCCGGAGACCCCACTTGCCTTCCACACAGCAGCGGCTGATTCTGCCTGACCATGCAGGTCCCGGGCATCATTTAAGTCCTTCCTCATGATTTCCACGGACCCCTTGTTCTCCTGGGAGAGAGAAGCTGGTTATAGACTGGGAAGAAGGATTTGGACACCCAGATCTGTCTGCTAGAAATCATTTGTTTTTAAAAAGGGTCTCCTGTGCTTCCCACTTTGTCAGAACTAAGTACACAGCACACAATTCTAGGTTTGCTGTGTGATTCCATGTTTTTAAATATTGATTCAGATAATGGCTTTCCCTCTCTTCTGTGTCCTGCTTGGTTTCTGTAGAGATTGCTGTCTTTGGAAGGGAAACCACAGGACAACCCTAAGAGCAGAACACCTACCCCAGGCTGGGACCGGGATGTAACCACCGGCCTCCACCTCAACACTGTTCACTAATAGTGATTAAATCCTATTCTGGGGCTCAGGGTACATCATTCCAGAACATAAGGCTAACAGCAGCCTCAAACACACTAAGCTAGTGGTTCTCCTAAGGGGCAGAGACCAGGCATCACTGCCATACTACCTGGCTACTCAGAAATATACATCCTGCCCCTCTCTGGGCCAGGGATGATACTCCAGACTCCTGGGCCCCAGCTGTGCCCAGATTGTAATGGGAGGTTTCTACCCAATGCCAGGTGCCACATGCAATGACCAAGAGAGCACAGAAGAGAAGGTTCCAGAATGAGGTGGATCGGCAGTACCCCAGAGGGCTGTAAGGGTAACTGGCAGACAGAAGCCCACATTCAACATCTCCAGCACAAATCTCAAAGCACCACCGGCAAGTAGATGGGCGGGGCTTGCCTCAATGAGGTCACTCCCGGATAGGAGGAGGGAACCAGGCCTTGAGAGGAAATGGGGGGAAAATGACAGTCTGTGGCGGTACAGAGATAAGGAACAGGTAGGCCCGAGACCTGGGATGAAAAGGGTACAGAAGAGCATGCTCTAGAGATGAGAGATCAAGGATCACAGCAGGGGCCGGGACAGGTATAATAGAATTCACAGACTACAGGATTCAAGAACACTAGGCATGGCATGGACCCCCGGGGTAGGGAAGGTGCAGGGCTGAGGGGGGCACCTCGGAGAGAAAGGGGGGGGAGAATGCTGGGCACCCATGGCAAGCAGGAGAGGGCAAAG